TGCCCGGCCTCTGTTCATTCAACCTTTATCGGCTTCTGGGTTTGTGCCAACCACCATGCTAGTGCTCGGGAAATAAGCATTCATTCAGTGAAGATCTATTAAGTACTCACTGTGTGCCAGACATCGTTTTAGGGGTGAGAATATAAGTATGAATGCCACAGAAAAGATTCCTGCCCTCATGGAGCTTCCATCAACACAGGAAACAGCTAATAAGCAAGTAAATGACCTTCCCAGGCAATAATTATCTTATTTAAGTGCTATAAAGGAAATAAACAGGGAGATGTGAAAAATGGCCAGAGGGTGTTGCTATGTTCGGGTGGGGAGTGGTCAGAGGAAGCTTCTATAGGAAGTGATGTTTCAGATCAAGCCTGAAGATGAGAAGGAGCCAGAAATGTAAAGTGGGTGGGGGTCAAGAGCATTACAAGCCAGTGCTGTTTAAATAGTCATATGTAGCTAGTGGCTGTGCAGGGAGACCAGCAAGTGCAAAGGCCCTGAGGTGGGAAGAGCTTGACCTGTCTCAGGAACAGAAAGGAGGTTTCTGATCTGGGGTGGCTTGTATGCTGTAAGTGAGGAGGGGAGGCATGCAGGGCCAGATCATGAAGGGTTTGGGTGACCATAACGGAGACTCAGAATTCAAAGCACAATGGAAAGCTATTGGGCCAGGTGCAGTGGCTTGTAATCCCAGCTACTCAGGAGGCTGAGGCGGGAGGATCACTTGAGTCCAGGAGTTCAAGACCAGCCTGGGCAACATAGTGAGACCCTGTCTCTAAAAAAAATAAATAATTATCAGAACTTATTAACATTAGTGTCACTAAAGTTGGTATTCAACCCCCCACTGCTAAATTTGACTGGCTTAAATAAAAAATAAATAAATAAATAATTTAAAAAATTAGCTGGGCATGGTGGCACATGCCTGTAGTCCCAGCTACTCTGGATGCTAAGATGGGAGGACCACCTGAGCCCAGGAGTTCCAGGTTGCAGCGAGCTATTATGATGCCACTGCATTCCAGCCTGGGTAACAGTGAGACCCTGTTTCTAATTTTTAAAAAAGAAGAAAAAAAGCTATTGGAGAACTTTAAGCAGGGAGGTGCCTTAGTCTAATTTACAATTATATGAGAACCAGCCCGGTCGCATTGTGGAGAATGGAGTGTCAGAAGAGAGGGAGCAAAAGATAAGTTAGACTCGTTTTCAAATATGATGGGTCAAATAAATGCACCTAGTTGTACTCTCTCTTAAAACCTCTCTGAAACCACCCAGTGATTTTTTTTTTTTAAAGAGCTAAAGATGAAGAATATGGGAACAGAAATCACAGCATCATTTTGGAAGCTGGAAATCAGTGGTAATTGACCAAGCAGATCTGGGGCAGCTGAGCGTGAAGCCTGCAAGGGAGGGAACCGTGGAATGATCTGAGGCGCTGGAGCTGTGGTAGACTTGTAAAATAAGGGGAACTGGTGAAAAGTGCTTTCTCAGTTACACCCCTGCTCTGGCTCCCTGCCTCTGGGTAATGGTTCCTCCCCAGCTCCAGCAGACATCTGAAGGCTTATTATCTGAAGAGGGTAAATCGGAGGATGTGACGGGGCTGGCCTGGCACAGGCGAGAGCCAGGGTAGTTTGCCAGTAACAGGGTCATGAGGTGACTATAAGTCTCTTCAATGCTAAGTGCTGACAGCCAACCCCAGCCCCCTCAATCCCACTCAGCTCCCAGAACCTCCATCTTCCGAAAAAGATCAAAAGAGTGCTCTAGGGAGCATGACCAATCCAAAAGGAAAGACTTAAAGATCCTGAATCAGAGGTTCCTCCATATACAGCCTGTCCAAATCACCCTAGAGTGAAGCTCAAAGTCAACAAGCCTCACCCACATACTCAGGGCTTCCTTCCAGTGTTTTAGACCCTCTTCACTATGAGCAGACAACAGAGGATTACCTGATAAATGGGAATTCTCCAACATGGAAGACCAAGACCGAAATGACAACAGAGCAAAGCAATTTGAAAGATACATACTGTGTAGGGAGAAGAAAACTTAAAAAAAAATTAATATTCTCAGTGAGACAGGAGAAGAGTTCACATTCAGGAAATCAGAACATAGAACTTAAAAAACCAAAAAAAGGCATTAATAAGATGATGTTCACTTCAGCAACATATATACTAAAATTGGAACAACACAGAGAAGACTAACATGGCCCCTGCACAGGGGTGACGTCCAGATTCATGAAGTGTTCCATATTTAAAAAAAAATTAGTAAGAAGACAAAAATGAATTAAAAATCACATTGGAAGAGAAATTCTAATAAACCTCCCAGAAAATACAACAACAACCACAACAAAACAGATGGAAAAATTAGAAAAGCTAAAAAGATCAGTGGCCAGTCCAGGAGATCCAACAGAACCAAGAAAATGGGAGGAAGTCACCAATGAAATAATTCAGAAATGTTTATCTGCTCTGAAGGACATGAGTTGTAGATTGAAATGGTTCAACAACTGCCCAACACTATGAATGAAAAATATGAACATTAAAACACATCAGGCCGGTTGCGGTGGCTCATGCCTGTAATCCTAGCACCCTGGGAGGCCAAGGTGGGTGGATCGCTCAAGGTCAGGAGTTCGAGACCAGCCTGAACAAGAGCAAGACCCCGTCTCTACTAAAAAATAGAAAGAAATGATCTGGAAAACTAAAAATATATATATATATATAGAAAAAATTAGCAGGGCATGGTGGCGTGTGCCTGTAGTCCCAGCTACTTGGGAGGTTGAGGCAGGAGGATCGCTTGAGCCCAGGAGTTTGAGGTTGCTGTGAGCTAGGCTGATGCCATGGCACTCTAGCCCAGGCAACAGAGCCAGACTCTGTCTCAAAAAAAAAAAAAACAAAAAAAAACACATCAGTGTGAAATTTCAGAACACTGAGGACAAAAAAAAATCTAAAATGTTCCAGAGAGAAAGAACAGATCTCAAAGGGTCAGGCATCAAAATGACTTAAGATTTCTTAAGAGTCTAGAAAACCATGGAGCAATACCTTCAAAATTCTGATGGAAAATTCTAACATAGCAGTATGTACTCACCATAATTGTCATTTAAATAGAAGGATAGAATAAAAATCTTGGAGAAAGCAAAAAAAGAAACAAAATTATTTTCATACTCTTTCTGAGGAAGCTACTGGAGGTTGAGTTTCACCAAAGAAAGAGAAAGAGAGCCAGAGACAGACAGACAAGAAACGGTCGGTTAGAGGACACAGGAGAGAGGTGGCCGTGCACACGGTGTGGAGGGCAGCTAGTCTAGCCAGTTTGGAACAGGTTTGAAAATTTAGGGTCAAAGACAGTACAGAGTGCCGGATCCAGAGCCATGCGTGTCTCTGGAGTGAACAGATGTCCCAGTAGAGGACAGGGGACCATCACTTGTATTGACGAGACCTGCAGGGTTGACGCGTGGCTGGGCCTGAGTGATGGGACAGTAAGGAAGTGTGCTCCTTGCCTGGTACCTCCTCACCAACATCTTGACAAGAACTTTCCGATCCCTGTACACTACAAGGAATAAGAAAATGAAGTTTGCTTAAATAAGAGGAATTCTTTACATACACATGTTCTTGTAGATGTTTAGAGTATCCCTGGAAGGATGCATGAGAAGCTGGTCACAGTGGTTGCTTGTGGGAAAGGGACCCAGATGGTTTGGGGAAAGAGGCAGGAAGAAGCCTTACCTCCCATTGTTTTACTTTTTTCTTTTGAATCTGTACCATATGCCAGAGATAAAAAGGAAAAAGATCACCCCACCCCACCCCAAAAAACACAAAAAGTCAGTAAGTTACTGCAGTAGTCACAGCTAGAACTGATTGTGGCTTTCGCTAAGGTTATGGCAGCAATGATGGAGAGTGAGTGGATTTGAGCGAGACGGTGGAGGTAGAAGAAGACTACGACGGCCACCGTGTGCTCAGGGCCCTCAAGGTGTTTATATTCCATGGGGAGACACGGGTGGGAAAATAGATTAAGTCGGTGCTCATGAGAGGGACATTTCACCTGGCCTGAGAGAGAACAGAGACCAGGTCCCAGCCCTATCCAGCTTTGACACTGAGGCTTCCTTAGCGACATCCCTAACATTGGCATTGGCTCTGAAGAGGAGCAGTATCAGGCCACCCCTCAGGGCGTGCTTTGGTTCTGTACAGGAAATGGACTCCACTAGGCTGGCTGAGCAGACCAGGAACCCTATCCTATGTTTAGATCCCCCGCTGGAGCCTCGGCTTCTCTGTCGTTCCTGGGCAATTGCTCTTCAGCTCTGACGCTGAGTGCCCCTCTACCCAGGTGGCCAAGACTAAGCAGCAGATCGAGGAGCAGCGGGTGCAGGTGCAGGTGGTGGAGCGAGCCCAGCAGGTGGCAGTGCAGGAGCAGGAGATCGCCCGCCGAGAGAAGGAGCTGGAGGCCCGGGTGCGCAAGCCCGCAGAAGCCGAGCGCTACAAGCTGGAGCGCCTAGCCGAGGCAGAGAAGTAAATGCCCCCTCCCTTGCTCCCTCCTGGCTCCTTTGCCACCGGGGCAGCCCCACGTGGAGAGCTGAGGCCCTCACCACCTGGACTCCTATGGGACTCAGGGTGTAGGAGCTTTTGTCTCCCCAGGCTGGGTCTTTCTCCTAGGCTCCTCCCTCCACTTCCTTCTGTCCCCAGGTCCCAGCTGATTATGCAGGCGGAGGCAGAAGCTGAGTCTGTGCGGGTGAGTTAGGTAGCTCCTGCTGGGGTGTGGAGAGAGTGGGGGTTGCTGCTTGAGCTAGAGTTTCTTGTTATTCCCACCAATCCCACGACAAGTATCCTGTAACTCTCTTCAGATGCGTGGGGAAGCGGAGGCCTTTGCCATAGGGGCGCGGGCCCGGGCCGAGGCTGAGCAGATGGCCAAGAAGGCAGAAGCGTTCCAGCTATACCAGGAGGCGGCTCAGCTGGACATGCTGCTAGAGAAGCTGCCCCAGGTCTGGAGAGTGTGCCCAGGAGAGGACCAGAACCAGAGGCTGCAGGGTGGAGTGAAATGAGATGAGGGGACCATAAGTTACAGATGGGAAGTATTAGCCAGTGACCTAAGGGAGAGACGGTGATCAGTAGGACAAGGATCTTAGAACCCAAGTAAGTTGTTTCATGAGGGGTGTGTTCAGGTCATGGGCACTGAGTGTGCATCTCTCACCTACCAGGTGGCAGAGGAGATCAGTGGTCCCTTGACCTCAGCCAATAAGATCACACTGGTGTCCAGCGGAAGTGGGGCCGTAGGGGCAGCCAAAGTGACTGGGGAAGTACTGGACATCCTAAGCCGCCTTCCAGAGAGCGTAGAGAGACTCACAGGCGTCAGCATCTCCCAGGTGAGGATCTCTGAGGTGGGGGCTGGGGAGCAGAATTGCTGGGTTCCTTTGTTTAGTGGTGCAGTGGGCATAGCACTTGACTAGCACCCAGGCCCCAGGGTTGCTGACATTTATTAATCACTTTCTAGGTGCCAGGCACAGTGCTAAGCTTCTGCATGAGTTGTTTTAAATCAGACTACCCTTAGGGTATGTATTATTTTACAAAGTAAAGAAGCTGAACTTCCAACTCATTCAGCTGATGAATCTGGACTTCAAACCCAGGCCAACTGTCTCTGGAGCCTGTGCTTGTGATCACCCCACTAGTACAGGGGACTAGTGGCAGCCTGGTGACAATTCCAAGGCATAGCACTGCTTTTTTTGGTGCCTCTGGTAGAGGCCAGAGAACAGGCTCTAGAACCACTGTTTTGTTGTGAATCCTGGCTCCAATGCCCATTAGCTGTGACCTTGGGCAAGTTATCAACCTCTCTATACCTGTTTCCTCACCTTAAAATTAGGTTAATAATAGAAACTACCCTGCTGAATTGCTAAGGGGATCAAGTAAATATTCGCAGAGCATTTAGAACAGTGCCTTAAACATAGTAAGCATTGTGTGTGTGTTAAATACATATATAAATAAAAGCACCAGATCAGGCTGGGTGAGGTGGCTCTCACTTATAATCCCAGCACTTTTGGAGGCCAAGGCAGGAGGATCACTTGGAGCCAGGAGTTCAAGACCAGCCTGGGCAACATTGTGAAACCCTATCTCTAAAAAAAATGAGCCAGGCATGGTGGTGTGTACCAGTAGTCTCAGCTATGCAGAGGCTGAGGTAGGAGGATCACTTGAGCCTAGGAGTTCGAGGATGCAGTGACCTATGATTGCGCCACTGCACTCCAGCCTGGGTAACAGAGCAAGACCTTGTCTCTTGGAGAAAGAAAAAAAAGCAGCGGATCATACCAACAACCTTTAAGTTGGGTTCCTGGGAGCTTCCCTGAGGCCTGCAGTGGGAGATTCAGAGCTAAGGAGAGATTGCAAGCAAGGTTCTGGCTCCTCTACCCTCTCAGTGATTTACTATCCATGGATCCTGATGTGTTTGCTTGGGGAAATGGGCTGAGGCAGGGCACCAGAAACAAGATTCCTGGACATGCATGTCCTCCTACAGCCCATTCGTCCAAATGGGGGGCCTGGGAGGGCTGAGGGTACCTGGTTCCCAAGTGTCACCCACTGTTGTCTCTTTGCCAGGTGAACCACAAGCCTTTGCGAACAGCCTGAGCCCTCAGCCCTTGCCGATGCCCAGCCCCATGGCTTAGGTTCCTGAATGGTCCCTGTTGCATGCACCCCACCTGGCCTCCCTGAGCATGTCCTTTGACAGTGGGGTTCCACTCCTCATCTCTCCTTGCCAAATAGTCTGTGCCTTGCCTTGGAGGGGTTGCTCCCCTTCCTGACCCCACACTACCATGACTGTCAGTGCCAGGGGTACCTTGTCAACCTTTGGATGACCCACTCCACCCCATCCCAAATTACTTAACTTCCTAATTAAATTACCATCTGAGCCTATTGTCTAGACTTTTCTGACCAAAACTGAGGGATGGTCTGGAGGTTCTCAACTTTACCTGCCAAATAAATTACTGTAAGTACTAATACTTATGAATAATTACTTAATAAAACAGAACCAATTCAAAATGAACGCTAGAGTTTAGCTTGCTCCCTTGCCTACAATAGACTTTCTAGAATGGGAGAAAAGCAAGTTATACACTGTTAAGAATTGTAGAGGACTGGGTGGAGTGGGCTCACATCTGTAATCCTAGCACTCTGGGAGGCTGAGGCGGGAGGATCCCTTGAGCTCAGGAGTTCGAGACCAGCCTGAGCAAGAGCAAGACCCCGTGTCTACAAAAAACAGAAAAATTAGCCAGGCATGGTGGCGTGTGTGTATCGTCCCAGCTACTCAGGAGGCTGAGGCAGGAGAATCACTTGAGCCCAGGAGTTCGAGACCAGCCTGAGCAAGAGCAAGACCCCGTGTCTACAAAAAACAGAAAAATTAGCCAGGCATGGTGGCGTGTGTGTATCGTCCCAGCTACTCAGGAGGCTGAGGCAGGAGAATCACTTGAGCCCAGGAGTTTGAGATTGCAGTGAGCTGTGATGACACCATCGTACTCTAGCCTGGGCGACAGAGCAAGACTGTCTCAAAATGAAAAAATTGTAGAGGTATTTTTTCCCCCAAAAGTTGGTTATAGTCAGAAAAGCATGCTACAATAGAAGAAATATTGAGAATAATGTTAGTCCCTAGAATTACTGAAAATATGGCTAAAGGAAATACTAAGTTATTACGTTTCCAAGGCAGCTTTGCTTTGACTTATTTTATGCTCTTAGAGAAGCATGAGCTATTAGGTAGAACAGATTATTTTGGAGACATGAGGTGGCATTCTCTACTAGTCATCTTTGTCTTAGGTTGACTAAGAAAACTCACAGGCAACAGCCACAGGTGTGCCCATAACCCAGAGGAGTCCCGGATGGGCCGTATGTTGGAAATGGTGCAATAGTAGTTTTCCGCTGTGCACATTCACGTGAGTCTCCTAGAGCACTGTTAAAACGGACTGCTGGGGTCCAACCCATTTCTGGTTCAGTACATCTGGGTGGGACTGAAAACTTGCGTTTCTACAAGTTCCCAGGGGATGCTGATGCTAGTCTGGGAACCAGTTATGCATTGTCATTCATCTTCGTTTCCACTTCCCATCTCTAGATCCTGTATCTGGGCCTATGCCTTTCCCAGTTAAGACTGACTGGTACTAGTGGTGGTGGTTTGAGTACAAGATTAAAGATAAGATGAGGGTCAGCGAAGTGATGTCTCTCAGTATCTGTGGAGGTTCCAGAACCTCCTTCAGATACCAAAGTCAGCAGATGCTCAAGTCCTTCACATAAATTGGCGTAGTTACTTGCATATAACCTAAACATTACCTCCCCCATACTTTAAATCACCTCTAGATTACTTCCAATACCCAATACAATGTAAAGTTATTCTATATTGTTTAGGAAATGACAAAAAAAATCTGTACTTGTTCAGTATAATTTTTTCCCCAAATATCCAGTTGGTGGACTCCCTGGATGCAGAACCAATAGATACGCAGGGCCAACTTTATCGTGATACACTCGTCTATTTAAGGAGAGCACAGTATAACTGAACTTAAGTCCCATGTCTCCACCGGCAATCCCTCCCTAAATAAGCACACGTCTCGCAACTTTTTTCAATTCCCATTTATTTTTGGCTCTTGGGGCATTGTCATCTTTTCAATATGAAAAAAAGCAGCAAGTTCAACACAAAATAGAAATCTGAAGTGTAGGATATGACAAAACCAAGGGTAGGGAGAAAAAAGGCAACAGCAAAGAGATGAGATTTGCAAAAAAGAGGGTGTCCTGTCCCCTCTCTGGGGAATGACTCATTTAGGTGGCAGCATACACCTTTCCACACAAGTAAGGGATGCTACTACTTTCTTGCGGGTAAGAAAAGGTAGGGACAGGGAGGGCATTTCTGGAGGGTTAGGGACAAAGGCTCAGCTCTCCCCCCTCCTGATCCCCTTCTCCAAGGCAAAGGAAGGAACCCAATGTATGAGTGAGGTGGAGAGGGGAGCATTCCACTTCACAGGGTGGGGCAGAACCCCCCAAAGGGCAGAGCTTGGAGATTTAAAGTGGAGATAATACTGCTAACACCTTCCTTGAAGCTGAGAGATAGAACATGCAAATACCTAGAAGTTGACTTAAAAGCTTGGATTTCCCTCTCCAAAACTGTTCTAGAATGGAAAATCCTATCCCTTCTTCATAGTGACTTCCCCCGCCCCCACCCCGCCCCGCCCCACCCCATCCCACTTTGCCACTACTTGGGCTTAGGATGATGGTCATCATCTGGGTTTTCAGCACCCGGTTGGTTCTAAATGGCATCTGGATGAGACCCAGCGCCTTAGAATTATTTTAAAAACAGAGGGAAATATTAACTGGACAGAAGGGAGGAATGGGCACCTGAAAGAAATAGAGGTTACCCAGAAAGGCAGAAATCTATGTTTCCCAGAGTGGAAAGAGAGAGGAGACATTCAACAAACAAGTATTTATTGAGCGCCTACTATGTGCCGGGCACTGTTCTAGACCCCCCTAAAAGAAAAAAAAAAAGAGGCAGCAAACACAAATTCTGAGGGAGAGGAAAGGGGTAGTTGAGGAAGAAGGCTGAGGGGGCTGGAAGCCTGAGGTGAGGGGGGCTATGCCTTAGGCCTCCTCTTCGGCCTCCTCACCGAAATCCTCCTCCTCTTCCGCGGTGGCATCCTGGTACTGCTGATACTCAGAGACGAGGTCGTTCATGTTGCTCTCAGCCTCGGTGAACTCCATCTCGTCCATGCCCTCGCCTGTATACCAGTGGAGGAAGGCCTTCCGGCGGAACATGGCCGTAAACTGCTCTGAGATGCGCTTGAACAGCTCCTGGATGGCTGTGCTGTTGCCGATGAAGGTGACCGCCATCTTGAGGCCACGAGGTGGGATGTCGCAGACAGCCGTCTTGACATTGTTGGGGATCCACTCCACAAAGTAGCTGCTGTTCTTGTTCTGCACGTTGAGCATCTGCTCATCTACCTCCTTCATGGACATCCGTCCACGGAAGACAGCAGCCACAGTGAGGTACCGGCCGTGGCGGGGGTCGCAGGCAGCCATCATGTTCTTGGCATCGAAGACCTGCTGAGTGAGTTCGGGCACAGTGAGAGCCCGATACTGCTGGCTTCCACGGCTGGTGAGAGGGGCAAAGCCAGGCATGAAGAAGTGGAGACGTGGGAAGGGCACCATGTTGACTGCCAGCTTGCGGAGGTCAGCATTGAGCTGGCCAGGGAAGCGGAGGCAGGTGGTGACACCACTCATGGTAGCTGAGACAAGATGGTTCAGGTCCCCGTACGTCGGCGTGGTCAGCTTGAGGGTGCGGAAGCAGATGTCATAAAGGGCCTCGTTGTCAATGCAGTAGGTCTCATCAGTGTTTTCTACCAGCTGATGGACGGAGAGGGTGGCGTTGTAGGGCTCAACCACAGTGTCGGACACTTTGGGTGAGGGCACCACACTGAAGGTGTTCATGATACGGTCAGGATACTCTTCTCGGATCTTGCTGATAAGGAGAGTGCCCATTCCAGAGCCTGTGCCCCCGCCCAACGAGTGGGTCAGCTGGAAACCCTGCAGGCAGTCACAGCTCTCCGCCTCCTTCCGCACCACATCCAGGACGGAATCAACCAGCTCGGCCCCTTCTGTATAGTGGCCCTTGGCCCAGTTGTTGCCTGCCCCTGACTGACCTGGAATGGTGTAAGGAGAAAAACTTAATTAATTAGCAGGGTGTGGAACATATATGAGGTTTCCCCCTTTCAACCTTTGGAATAATTCCCTTGGATGTATCTTCTTTCTACTTCACCTGTGAGGTGTTCTCCTCCCACCTTCCCATACTTTACCAGCTAGAGCAGTAACTACCTCTGCCCTCCATCAGCGATTTCGGAAAATAGCTCTGTATAAGCTCTCCAGTACAACAACCACCTCTAACTTCTGCTGTCTTCTTTACACCCAAATAAATTTAATCTGATGGTGTCCACTAATACCCTCTATATAACTCACCAAAAACAAAGTTGTCTGGTCTGAAGATCTGGCCAAAAGGACCCGAGCGAACAGAGTCCATGGTCCCAGGTTCTAGATCCACCAGGATAGCACGAGGAACATACTTGCCACCTACAGGGAATCAAGTAGAGGTGTGAGACCTGGCAGAGGGGAAGGTAAATATATTGGGGTTGGGAGAAAGCTGGGGACCCAAGCCTGTCATTCCCGGCCCTGCCACCACGTGGCAGAAGAGTTAGTCTTGGCCCCAATGGTGGGTCACCAAGGAAAAAGGATGATAGATTCATCCAAAAGGGATAAAGGGTCCCCAAGGATGGAAAGAGAACCCGGAGAACTATGAGAGAGAAAAGGGGACCCAGGCTTCCCGGGCTCCTGTCCTCACCTGTGGCTTCATTGTAGTACACGGAGATCCGGTCCAGCTGCAGGTCGCTGTCCCCGTGGTAGGTACCGGTGGGGTCGATGCCGTGTTCATCACTGATCACCTCCCAGAACTGCCGGAGAAGAGCAATGAGCCCTCAAGAGTTCAAGTCCCGGCCGACTACGCTCGCCGCCCATTGTAATTCCAGCGCGACCTCGTAGGCCCTGCATCTGCCGGCCACACCCTTCCCTAGACACGCGCACACCGGGGAAACCGCAGTGTTCCCCGCTTGCTATGAGACGATGTGCAGCAAGGAAGGCCTGGCGTTCGCAGGGACCCGGGAGAGCGGAGGGAAGGCGACCCAACTGGAAAGGCCCCACCCCCCAGCCCCAGCCAGGCACCGCCCTCCAGGCCGCGCACAAAAGGCCGGGGTCTAGCAAGCCGCCTCCGCCGCCCGCGCCCCGCCCGCACGTGACGCGGCGCACGCGCAGGCCGCCGCCCACAAGAGGAGGCCGCGCGCGCGTGGGCGGGGCCCAAGGCGGACCACCCGCACGAGGGGCGGGGCCAGCGCGCCCCCGCGGGCCCGCATTGTCGCCGCGCGCCCGACCCCGCCCCGCAGGGCCCGCCCTTCTGCTACAACGTAGCAGCCGCACTTCCTCCCCGCCCCTCCCCCGCTACACTGTAACCGCGCGCAAAAAAAAAAAAAAAAAATTCCTCTGGGCCCCGGAATTTTATTCCTTCGCTAGATCTTTTTCTCCTCCAAAGATTCTCTTTCCCTCCCTTGTTTGTTTGGTCTTGAGACTCATCAAAGAAAAGCACGCCCTTTTTTCTCTCTCCCTTTCTCCGTATCTGTTCACGCCCTAGATCTCTCTTAGGAGCAAAGAAAGGAAGTGAAATTAATACAATACATATTCCCTTCCACCCACGAAAAGCGACAGCGCCGCCCCGCCGGGGCCCCCGATCTTTCGTGAAGGGCAGGCGTAGCGCAGCCCACCCGGCGCTCGCGGCCCCCGCCTTTGCAGGGGAGCTCCCGGCAGCTGCCGCCGCCTCCCCTTCCCCCTCCGGCTCGCCCTGCGAGGGGGGGTGGGCGGGACGCACATGGGCAAAACCTCGTTTCGCTTTGTCTCGGGCCGTTTCCGCACCTCTCTGCCCGCTTCTCGGACCGTTAGAAAATTCCCTTTTAGTAAATCTTACAGATCCTCTGTGTTTCTGCCCCCGAAACCCGAAGAATCCTTTTAATAGTTCTTCCAAAATGTGCTGCCAAGAAAAATACCCATTTTCCAAAAGCAAATGCTAGTTACACTGGTGTATTATTTCTGTGTTAAAAAAAACTTGGGAGAGGGCAAAGCTTGATTAAGGAGTAAGAGCGCAGATGCCCCACAACCATTTTTCATAATTTACCTGGACTTTTCCTTCCAAAAAGAAATACAATTAAAAGAAGAGGGTAAAAATTCTTACCTTGGCACCGATCTGGTTGCCACACTGACCGGCCTGGATGTGCACGATTTCCCTCATGGTTAAAATTTATTGTAATTTTTTTTGCTGGCCTCAAAGTATGTATGGGGCAAAAAAAATATATGTAGTTTTCTTTGCTAGTCGCAGGCTGATAGGATGGGACGTGCCCCGGAGGCTGCAGCAGCGAGGTCCGAACGCGGCAGCAGGAAGGCTCTGAGAGGGAGAAAGAAGCGGGGAGGGCGCGGGAGAGAAGGCGGGCAGGGCGGGGCGCGCGTGCGCCGGGGCTGGGAGGCGGGAGAAGCGGCCCCGCGCGCGGTGTGCAGACAAAGCCTCGTCGAGCCTGGCTCTGATTAGTCGGTGTCGGTCATGTACCAGGCGTCCATTGGTCCCTGCGCCCGGGGGCGAGCGCAGTCCTCTCTGGGAGCTGTAGTCCCCCATTGTTGTCCACGCTGCAAAATGTAGGGACGAATGGGTGGGTACTGGGCTTGTATTTTGTGGGTTTTTCTTTTAAATGAAAAAATGACCTTGCGCAAGATTTCTTTCCAATATGCCTGAGTTTTTGGTAGAAAAAGAGAGCAGTTTTCGGGGATGCAGGAATTGGGAAGTCTGGTGTTCCAGAAGGTGGGTGGTGGGGTAGGCACGCCCTGAAAGCTCCCGACTGCGGTAGCTCTCGGAAAGACAAGACTAAGCTTAGCGAAAACTGGGGAGAAGTGTGGCACCCGGCTCTGCTGCCTAACTTCTGGCCCTTGGTGACCCCAAGGCATGAACTTTAATAAGCCGCTGCTCCCCCAGATACCTCAGTAAGAAGGAGGGAATTGCCCTTCTACTATTTCCCTGGGAATTTTCGAGTGATGTTTCGAAAGAGAAACAAAATTGCAGCAAGGACCTTTCAGGACAGAGATGTTATCTGAAGGGTATGCTCGAAGATAAATTGAGTAGAGAAACTGGTATCTGGGATTTGTGAAGCCAGAATTCTCCATTCAAGTAGGGTATCTGGGCCTTAGGGCGGCGTTTGAGGACACCTTGGTCTTGTCAAACAGGGAACTATGGGATGAAATGCCTGATAGATTTTCAGTCTTTCCAGCCTGCCACTCTAGACATTTTGATGAAGTCAGTGGTTTTTCAATTCGCTTATTTCACTGACCAGGTGGCGGCCACTGCAACCCTTCAAGAGCCCCAGGATTGAAAAAAGGAGAGAGGGGTAATTGACGAAAGAAAATTGGATGGGCTCAAGTCAGAATCCATCTGCTTCTTCCCAGGGATTCATTCCCTCATTTGATAGATACTAAATATTCACCAAACCAGGAACTAAGGATACAAAAATGATTAAGAATTAGCTCCCTATCGTCTAGGATGTTGCCGTTTGGTGAGAAGTGTATAAAAAAGTGTGCTTAGCACTATAATAGAGATGATGTAATATCAAATTAAGGTCATTGTTAATTCACATTCGGTCAATACACAGATCAACATATTTCTAAATCACCCTCTCAATAAAGGAACATCAAGTTGTGTAAGACCCATCTACCCACTTAAAATATAATGTTTTATGTTTTAGGACATGATAACAATGAAAGCAGTTTTTTATGGTAGGGGAAAGAGCTTAGAATTTAGAATTAGAGTATTTGTTTCAACTGTCTTTACCCTACATTAGCCGTAGGGTCCTAGGCAAGTCATTTAACTTCGCGGAGTTTCAAATCCCTCGTTTGTAAAATCTACTTCTATTTGATTGTTGTAGACAGCATTGAGATAACGAGTGGAATGGGCTTCCTAAATTATACAAACGTCACATTGTTACAATTTTTTTAGTGTCTTATAGTGAAATAAATGATTTTATCTTTCCTTCGCCCCTTGAAAGGTGAGGACAGCCTTTAAGATACCAAAACAGTTCTCTCTGTTCGCCTGCAGATCTTTGCTTTAGGAGCTTGCATTTAGGAAAATGACCCCAAAATGTCTGTCAGGGATGTATTCCCAGGGAGAAATGACATGACTTCTACTAAACAAGTCAAATCAAAAGGAAATGAAATTCCATTGCAATAAGAATTCCTCAAGCGCCACGCCTACGGGCTGTCCTCCAAGCTGCAGCCTCTAGCCACGACTGCAATCCGCAGCCCCATTTCATTTCTCCTGAGTCAGCGGACACCATGTCTGGGAGGACCGAGGAAGGACGCTCTGGCCGCACCAGACGCAGCTGACGTCGTCTATGGTACAGCGCCTCTATCCGCTGCCCGCCGCTAACGCTAGATTCTCTGCCCGCGGTTCGGAAATCTGCGCGGGAAGTGGGTGGTGGGCGGGGAAGCGGTAGTGGGTCGTCCCTTGGAACTGCCCAATCGAGGTGCACTATTCCGTGCGCGCACGGCGGCCTCCGATTATCGTCCCACTTAACTGATTTTAGTCTCCTCCTTTTTGACCTGTAAGGGGGCGGGGAGGGGCGAGGAGGGGCGGGGCTTTGGGTGTGCCTCGCCCCACGGGCTTCATCAATCAGCCCGCAACAGGGCTTTGAAAGACAGCGGCAGGAGCCAATCAGAGCATCGGCTTCCTTCTGGCTCGCTCACTCGCACCACCCCGGTCGCGGCCGTTACTGGTGGCGCGCGCGGGGACTCAAAGTAGGTGAGTTCTGGGGGCCTCGCCCACGGCTCTCCGGGTGCCATCTTGATTCCCCCAGAGGGCGGGAGGGGCTTGCTTGGGTGCGACAGGGCGGTGGTGACTTGGAAGTTTGCTTCTTGGATTGTAATACTAATCCTTACCTGGCGCCCCGCCCTGAGTTTAGGTACGAAGACGCTGGGAGACATTGAACCACGGGGGAACCTACTAGGGTGGGGATCAAAGATGGGGGCCTTTTGAATTGCAGCCAAGGGTCGTGGCACCCTCTGAGTTGGCCAGTCATAAGGAAGGAGTGAACACTTTCTCCACGAGGCATCTTACTTTCCCCTACCTGTCAACATGTTTAGCTTGGCATCTTTTTTTGTTTGTTTGTGTTTTTGTTTTTTTGGTGAGTCAGTCTCTCTCTGCCCTGGCTGGAGTGCCGTGGCGTCAGCCTAGCTCACAGCAACCTCGAACTCCTGGGCTCAAGTGATCCTCCTGCCTCAGCCTCCCGAGCAGCTGGGACTACAGGCGGACACCACCATGCCCGGCTAATTTTTTCTATTTTCTTTAGTAGAGACGGGTCTCACTTTTGCTCAGGCTGATCTCCAATTCCTGAGCTCAAGCGATCCTCTCGCCTTGGCCTCCCAGACTGCTAGGATTACAGGCGTGAGCCACCCACCGCGCTCGGCCTAGGGTGGGGTCTTTCTAGGTGAATTCCACTCAGGCTCTTTTGAATTTCCATATCCTCTCATTTATTCTTTCATCAGTGGGCTCAGTGATGTAGCCTCCACAAGGGCAGGGTTCATTTTATGTTTGGTTCACAGATGTATCCCAAATACTTCAAACAGTATCAGGTGCGCCATCACCACCATTGAATGAATATGATGGACCCTAGGGGAAAAGATACAGTTTCCCTAGTCCAGTCCTGAAGATGAGGTGTGAAGGCAGAAATGGAAAGTAATGGTTACAATATGGTGAGAAGTGTTAGAGTAGGCACAAGTCCAATGACCACTGTGGATCACCAGAAAACAGGGAAAACTCTACGAAAGGCTTTGCTGAGAAAGTCATTTGAACTGACTCTTAAAGGATGGGTAGGAGTTGGACCAGAAAACTAGGACTGAAGGGTCATGGAACTGGCCTGAGGCATGAAGATGTGGAGGACAACAAGGACAGTGTGTTCAGAGATTGGAGAGAAGGGCTGTGCCTGAAGCATAGGCTTTTGGGGAAGGGTGTGCATTAAGGACAGGAGGTAGAGATCATGGACGGTCTTGCTAAGGAGTTTAGATTTTATTTTATCCTGTGGGCCTGGAAAGCCATCAGAAAATATTAGACAAAGGAGAGACATTATCTGGGTGACCGTGGGCAAATTCCTTAACCCAGCTATGTTGCAGTTTCTTTATCTGAAAAAATGGAAGATGATACCTACTTTTTTCTTTTATATTTATATATATATATGTATATGTGTGTGTATATATATATATATATATATATATATATATATATTAAAGGCTGGTCAAGTGAAAATACCTGCTTTACAGCATTCTTGTGAAGATTAAATGAGTCAGTCAGTATAAGGTAATTAGGACAGTGCTTGACACATAGGAAACATCTGTATACATCAGCTGTTGTGACTTCTTGCAATTTGGCCTGATCATACTAAGGTGGTCTGGTAAAGTGTAAAAAGCCTGGGCTTTGCAGCCAGAAGCATCGTTATTCCTATCTATTTACCTGCTGTTATCCTGAGCAAATTATGTAACATTTTTAGCATTAGTTTCCTGAATGCCTGCCTCATATGGCCACTATGCCTGACACATAACACAATGCCTAACACATACTTGGCATGTGTTAGCAAAATGGTGTCTTTCAAATTGTGGGTTGCAACCCAGTAGTGGACAGTGAAAATTTAGTGGGTTGCAAATCAGTATTTTAAAAATAATATGGAGAGAATAGAAAAATATAGAATGAAAAATATCAGCGTATTTATTGTACATAGTAAGGCTAAGCATTGTTTCTCAAAACTTCTGTTTATATAAACAGGCATGTGTTTATACATATTTGTATACTTGGGACCTTATAATATGTCTTACTCTGTGTCATGGATATGTTTTAAATGCTTTGAAAGGATAACATCAGAATGATTGGTAGAAAGAGAAGCATCAACCTTCATAGCAATCCAGGTTTACCTCCAGTTATCAGTCTGATCAGTGTGATGCATGATGCAGTTGGTGTGAACCAACGATGGGGATGATGATAATGTGTTTCCTTCCCAGATTATGGAGGACACACAGGTTATCAACTGGGACATTGAAGAAGAGGAGGAGACAGAACAATCCAGTGAATCCTTGGAGTACAGCTTGGAGCCTGTAGGGCGGCTGCGTATCTTCAGTGGTGCCCATGGACCAGAAAAAGGTCAGGGGTTATTGGATGCTGAAGTATTGATCTAGGTCTTTTATTTTTGTGGGGAGGTAATTGGAGGGTTGCAAGGAGATCTCAAAATTTTTTTTTTACTAGGAATGGAAGAGAAGGGACTGATTGAGTTGATTGTTCCAGGATAGTGCCCTGGGCCTACTGGAAATGATTTTACTTTGATAGAAGATTAAGAGATTCAAATAAAAATCCAGTGTGGTCGGGAGATGGATGGTGATGATGATTACACAACAATGTGAATGTACTTAATGCCACTGAACTGTGCACTTAAAATTATTAAAATGGTAAATTTTGTGTTACGTATATTTTATCACAATTTTAAAAATCCAGTGTGGATGGATGAGGTATTGCATATGAATAATGCATATAATTTTCAATGCCTAGATATCCTAGCGCCTTTTATTTTTCTAATGCGTGTGGGGCCTTGAGTGAGTAGTGGGTACCTAATAGGACTGTTTTCCTAATGACAGGCCAGGACTCTGGCCTTAGAACCTATCTACCTCTCTAATTTTTAGATTTCCCACTACACGTCGGGAAGAATGTGGTAGGCCGAATGCCTGACTGTTCTGTGCCCCTACCCTTTCCATCCATCTCCAAACAACATGCAGTGATTGAAATCTTGGCCTGGGACAAGGCACCTATCCTCCGAGATTGTGGAAGCCTCAATGGTACTCAAATCCTGAGGCCTCCTAAGGTTCTGAGCCCTGGGGTGAGTTATCGTCTGAGGGACCAGGAATTGATTCTCTTTGCTGACTTGCCCTGCCAGTACCATCGCTTGGATGTGCCCCTGCCCTTTGTCTCTCGGGGTCCTCTAACTGTAGAGGAGACACCCAGGGTACAGGGAGGAACTCAACCTCAGAGGCTTCTGTTGGCTGAAGACTCGGAGGAGGAAGTAGGTAAGCTTATGTATTGGGAGGGTGGGAGAGGAGGAGATGGGGATGATGAGTGTGAAACTGTCAACTTCTTTCTATTCTTGACAGAGTCCCTTTCTGAAAGATGTGTGATGAAAGAATCAAGGACCACATCCTCCCCTTTGTCAACAGTAGTTCCAGAGAGGTAAGTGCCAAAGGGCCAGACACCTGAGTCTTCAAAAGGAGGAAGAAACAGGGGCTGGAGGATCAATCTCTAAGAGAGAGAATTATCATGAAAGTTGGGGCTGGGGTATACATACTCATTCACTCAGCTGAATTTCTATGGAGCACCTTTGATGTGTCAGCTGGAGAACTAATTACTGGAAACAGAAAACAAATACTACCTTGTGTCTGCCCTCAAGAAGCTCACAATTGAGTGGGGTATCCCTTTCTTGGAAATAGATTCTACAGTCTCTCTGTCTTCCCTTTGTAGTGATGAAGAGGGGCCTTCCCCTGGCCCAGGTGGCCCTGGGCCACATTGTGCCTTCAACTTGGACAGTGACACAGATGAGGAGGAAGGTCAGCAAACAGCAACAGGGGAGGCCTCCTCCGCTGCCAGAAGAGGTGCCGCTGCAGAGGCAGAGCAACCTGCAGCTGATGGAGTTGCAACCAAAATCCAGTGTGAAAAGGATCAGCCTTCAGTGAAAGAGAGGGACAATGACACAAAAATCAAGAAGGATGGAGGAAATGGGGTGGTCCCAGTTAGGGTGATTCTGGAGAGGAGCCAACCTCCTGGGGAGGACAGTGACACAGATAGGGATGATGAGAGCAGGCCTCCTGGAAGGTCAGCTGAGGTCCATTTGGAAAGGGCCCAGCCTTGTGGCATTATCGATAGTGATACTGATGTGGAAGAAGAGGGAATCCCAGCAACCCCAGCTGTAGTTCCTATGAAGAAGAGGCAAATATTCCATGGAGCTGGTACAAGGGGTCCTGGAGCACCTGGCTTGGCACATCTGCAGGAGAGCCAGGCTGACAGTGATACAGATATGGAGGAGAGCGAGGCCCCACAGGCCATCCCTTTGGAGAAAAGCCAGACTTCCATGCTGATCAACAGTGATACAGATGATGAGGAAGAAGTCTCAGCAGCACTCACTTTGGCACGTCTGAAAGAGAGCCAGGCTGTTGTATGGAACAGAGTTATGGATGTGGAAGAGGACAGGGCCCAACCTGTGGTCCTTCTGGAGCAAACTGCCAGTGGGAGAGACAGTGACACAGATGTGGAAGAGGGAGGGCTCCCAGTAGAAAAGAGAGAAACCGTCCCTGAGGGTCACACAGACAAAGATGGAACCATTGTTATAGCACATTCAGAAGAGAACCAACCTCCTCCTGGGGACAGTGATATAGGTGTAGAAGCAGATAAGAGTTCACCTGGGATCCACCCGGAGAGAAGCCAAGCCTCCAGCACGGTGGACATCAACACAGAAGGGGAGGAGGATGTCCCACCAGGGCCAGCTGTTGTACATCTGGAGAAGCATCAGGTGTCTGTGGAGGGGACATATCAAACAGATGTGGAAGCAGAGAGGGGGCCAGCAAAGCTGCCTGTGGTGCCTCTAGAGGAAGGCCAGCCTCCTCTGGATGAGGACTGTGAGACAGATGTAGAGGAGGGCATGTCCTTAGCAGCCTCGGCAGCAACAGATATAAGAAAGAGCCGGCTTCCAGCAGAAGGGGATGCTGGGACAGAGCGGGCTGCAGCTGTTCTTGAGAGGGAGAGAGCTCTTGAGGTGGGGGTCCAGGGTGGGTCACCTGTGGCACAAGTGGAGCAGGACCTTCTCCCTATCTCAGTGGAGAATCTCACAGATCCTGTGGTGGACACAGGCACTCCAGAGGAACCCAGGCAGCCACAGAGAGAGGGAGCCCAGACCCCTGCAGGAAGAGAGAGAGAACCACATGTGGGCATGACCAAGGACTCTGAAGACAACCAAGATGGTAAGTTACTGGCCTTTCTTCCTCTCTTGAGCCCTTAAATAAACCATGGAAGTTCCAAGGGTTGGGGTTAGGAACAAAAGAGTAGAGATTAAGTAAGGAGTTAAGGGACAGATACGATTTCTTTTATTATCTATCCTATATTCCTCCCTACCAGATTCTGAAGATCTGGCCCTACAGGCTACCCAGTGCTTTGTGGAGAGAGAGACTGAGAGCCTGGAAGGTGAGGACACCTGTATTATTTGGATCCTGGTATCGGTGGGAGCTGGGAGATTAGACTAGTGGTCCTTGAAGGGTGTGAAGGCTGGCATGGGTAGGGTAGGAGACCAGAAAATGGAATCCTGGGGTTCTGTGGAGGAGCTGTGCTTAGGCTGTCTTTTCTTGTGCAGCAGTCCAGAGCATGGAGGATGAACCCACCCAGGCCTTCCTGATTACTCTCCCCCCAGAGCCTGGCCCTTCCCATTGCAGCTTCCAGGCCCCAGGTACAACAAACTCTCCCTTCCTCTGTGCTCACAACTTTGCATCCTTTGTTGTTTTTCCCCTCTACATATTTCTGTCATATTCCTTGACTACAGTTGGCCCTCTGTACCTGTGGGTTCCTCATCTAGGGGTTCAACCAACTGTGAGTTGAAAATATTTGAAAAAAAAAAAACCCACAATAAAAAATAATACAAATTTTAAAAATGTAATATAACAACTATTTACATAGCATTTTCATCATATCAGGTATTACGAGTAGTCTAGAGGTGATTTAAAGCTGCAGTCCCCACCTCCTTGTCCTCCCCATCATTCGCTCACATCACCACTTGAGCTCCGCACACCGCTCCCATCCGTGGAAAAGTTGTCTTCTGTGAAACCAGTCCCTGGTGCCAAAAAGGCTGGGGACCGCTGATTTAAAGTATATGGGAGAGCTGGGAGCAGTGGTACATGCCTGTAGTCCCAGACACTTGGCAGGCTGAAGTGGGAGGATCACTTGAGCTGAGGAGTCCGGCCTAGGCAACATAGAGAGATGACCATCTCTTAAAAAAAAATTTTTTTTTTAAGTATACAGGAGGTTATGTGTAGGTTATATGCAAATACTACGCCATTTTATATGAGGAACTTGAGCATCTGAGGATTTTAGTATCCACGGGGGTCCTGGGACCAATCCCCCATGGATACCAAGAGATGACTGTATTTTGCTGATGTTTCTCCATCTCATCAGGAAAAAATGCCATATTATGGAAAACAGTATGGAGATTCCTGAAAAAACTAAAAATAGAAATATCATATGATCCAGCAATCCCGTTGCTGTGTGTATATCCCCAAAGAGGAGATCAGTACGTTGAAGAAATTATCTGCACTCTCCTGTTCACTGCAGAACAATTCACAATAGCCAAGATAATGGAATCAACTTAAAAGTGTACATCAGTGGATGAATGGATAAAGAAAATGTGGTATATTTATGTATACAATGGAATAAAGAATGAAATCTTGTCATTTGCAGCAACATGGAGGTCATTATGTTAAGAGAAATAAACCAGACACAGAAGGACAAACACCACATGTTCTTTCTCATGTAGGCTGAAAAAGTTGATCTTACGGAGGTAGAGAGGAGAATGGTGGTTCCTAGAAGCTGGGAAGGGTAGAAGGGAGGAAGGGAAAAAGAAAGGTTTGTTAATGGGTACAAAAATACAACTAGATTGAAGAAATAAGTTCTAGTTTCGATAGCACAGTAGGGTAACTGTAGTTACAATAATTTATTGTTTATTTCAAAATGGCTAAAAGATTTGTAATTATCCCAACACAAAGAAATGATCGGCCAGGTGCAGTGGCTCACGCCTGTAATCCTAGCACTCTGGGAGGCTGAGGCGGGCGGATCGTTTGAGCTCAGGAGTTCGAGACCAGCCTGAGCAAGAGCGAGACCCTGTCTCTACCAAAAATAGAAAGAAATTAGCTGGGCGGGCGCGGTGGCTCACGCCTGTAATCCTAGCTCTCTGGGAGGCCGAGGCGGGCGGATTGTTTGAGCTCAGGGGTTCGAGACCAGCCTGAGCAAGAGCGAGACCCCGTCTCTACCAAAAATAGAAAGAAATTAATTGGACAGCTAAAAATATATAGAAAAAATTAGCCGGGCATGATGGCGCATGCCTGTAGTCCCAGCTACTCAGGAGGCTGAGGCAGAAGGATCGCTTGAGCCCAGGAGTTTGAGGTTGCTGTGAGCTAGGCTGACACCACAGCACTCTAGCCTGGGCAGCAACAGAGCAAGACTCTGAAAAAAAAAAAAAAAAAAAAAAGAAATGATCAATGTTTGAGGTGATGGTTATCTCAATTACCCTGATGTGGTCATTGCAATTGTATGCATGTATCAAAACATCACATGTACCTCATAAATATGTACAATTATTATGTATCAATAAAAAAAGAAAATGTATATATACACAGTGCAATGCTATTCAGCCTTTAAAAAATAAGGAAATTCTGTCACTTGTGACAACATGGATGAACCTGGAGGATATTACACTGAATGAAATGATCCAGACACAGAAAGACAAATACCGTATGATCTCGTATGTGGGCTCTACAAAAGGCGACCTCAAAAGCAGAGAACAGAATGGTGATTACCAGGGGTTAAGGGGAGACAGGGACGGGCATTGGGGAGATGTTGGTCAAAGGTTACAAAATTTCAGCTAGACAGAAGGAGTAACTTCAGGAGATCTATTGTACAACACGTGACTATAGTTAATAACTGCATTATATACTTAAAAATTGCTAAGGGTAGATTTTAAGTGTTCTCACCACAAAAAAATAAGTATGTGAGGTAGTGGATATGTTAACTAGCTTGATTTATACATTATACAATGACATATCAAAACATTATGTTGTATCCCATAAATATATATAATTTTTATTTGTCAACTAAAAATAAATAAAAGAAAATATAAGGAAACTCAACGAAAATAAAATTGTCAAAGTTATGATGTCAAAAACAGTATTCAAAAAAACAATAAAAAACAATACAACAATAAAAATAATGCAAATAGAAATAAGTATTTACATTTTACGAGGTACTATAAGTAATCTAGAAATGATTTAAAGTATATCTATAGGTTATATGCAAATACTATGCCATTTTATACAAGGGACATGAGCAGCCACAGTTTGGTATCCACGGGGGGTCCTGGAGCACACCTCCCACACATACCAAGGGATGACTGGATTTTGCTGATGTTTCTCCATCTCATCGGGGAAAAAATGCCATATTAAGTAGGACTCACAGACCAACTAGTTTAGATCATTTTTAAAGAGACTACTGAGGGGGCTTTCATATGATGGTATGGTCTTTTTGAGACAAACATTAAATGCTATAACTACCATCTTTATTCTCAGCTTTCCTTTAATAACTTATTTAGATTTATTATTCATGAATTTATCTTAATCTTTTTCAACCTATTTTTTATTCCAACCTGTACTCCTCCCTCCCCCCCCCCCTTACTCTCTCTCAGTCTCTCTCACTCTACTTCCAGGTGCCCTAGATGAGCCATGGGAGGTCCTGGCTACACAGCCATTCTGCCTGAGAGAGTCTGAGGCCTCTGAGACCCAGCCTATTGCCACCTACCTCAAGGCCCATGGATCTTGCCTGTCTCCACCTAGGGCAACATCACAAGACCATCATCCAGAGAGCCCGGTTCACACAGAGCCACTGGGGATTCAAGGCAAAGGGATGCAGACTGTGGATAAAGGCATGGGTATACCAAAAGAAATAGCTGAGAGAGGGACCCCTGAGAAAGGACCATTGGAGAGGGAAACCAAGAAACTGCATCCAAGGGGAGAGAGAGATGTGGTGGGAACGGAAGAATTAACCAGGGAGATACAGGACAGAGAACAAAAACAGCTGTTAGCTAGAGACACTCAGAGACAAGAGTCTGACAAAAAGGTGAAAAGTACAAGTCCTGAAATGGATGGGGACAGTTTGAAGGTAGAAGTTGAGTCATCCAAGGAAATGCAGCAGAAAGAAATAGAGAAGCAGACCCTTATAAGAGGAATATTTGAGAAAGTAGAGAGCCCAGTACCAGAGGGAGAGTGTGAGCCAGCTGGGCTGGAAGTGAGGGGCCCCACAGTGATGCTGAACAGAGGCACACAGAGAGGGGGCCCAGAAGGCGGGAACCAGGACCAGAAAGGGCAGGCCTCCTGCCCAACACCAGAGCCTGGAGTGGGGATAGGGCACCTTCAGGCACCTGCTTCAGCCCCGGTAGCTTCTGGGAGGCAGTCAAGTGGAGAAAGGGGAGCCCAAGTGAACCCCAAGAGGCAGCAGAGAGGTAAGTGAAGGTGGAGGGGAACCCAAGGTGGTATGAAGCCCTCATGATAACCAACCCTGAGCACCCAACCACTTAGAACTCAGCCACCCTTGTGTTTACTTTCTGTCTAGGTCAACTGAATTGCAAGACGCCACCTGCTGAGAAGGCTTCCAGGGTGAGAGCTGCTTTCTCTACCAACCCCCTACTTCCCAAGCCATCTCTACACCCCCTCCAGTGCCCCTTCCTTTGGCATCTAGTCCTTTCTCCATACCCTAAGTTTTCTTCCATTTATGGAAGAAAGAAGCTTGGTTCTTTCGTGGTATGAAAGAGACTTGGTTGGCTTCTATTCCTTTACCCTTGGTACTCATTGTTTTCTATATCTGTTTCCCAAGTTCCGTCTCCTGCCTGAGAAAGAGTCCCTTTCTTCCTGTTCCTTCCTTCTTCACCCCAGCCATCCTCTTCATTGCCATCATCCATGTGTGAAGAACGTTATAGTGGCATTGTGGAGTGAGGTCCGTGGGAAGGAGGACTGCTTGCTCCCTAGGCAGTTCCCAGTCTAATGGAAGAGAGGTCCTAGACAGAAGGAGAAGTCCAGTGAGCATAATTTAACCATAAACAAGTATCAAGAACAGTGTCCCAGTTCTAGCTCTCTTCTCTCTACCTCTTCCTCCCTCACTTGCTTCTGTTTCTCCCCAGGAAAATCAAGAATCCCCAGATGCTTGTCTGCCTCCTACAGTGCCTGAAGCCTCAACCCCACCCCAAGACCCTCTTCTCTCCCAGAGCCAAAGCCATGTTGCACCTCAGTCCCTTCTTTCTGCCTTCCTACCTTCTCTTGAGCCATCCATTCCTAAAACCAGGCAAAACAGGAGTCAGGAAGCTTCAGAGACTCCCTCGTCCTCAGAGCTGGAACATTTCCACCGAAAGCCTAAAGTCAGACCCCAGGGGTCTTCCAGGATGACACCCTCTCCAGTTTCCTCTACTGCCCATGAGCCCCACCCTACCACCCCCACAGCCCAGCCTGTCACCCCCGAGCCCACATCTCGCACCACTCGGGGCAGGACAAATAGGTCCTCTCTCAAGACACCTGACCCAATTGTCTTTATAGCTCCTGAGCTCCAGCCTCCCACTTCCACAGCCCAGCCTGTCACCCCAAAACCCACATCTCGAGCCACTCGGGGCAGGACAAATAGGTCCTCTGTCAAGACCCCTGACTCAGTTGTCCCCACAGCCCTTGAGCTTCAGCCTTCCACCTCCACAGCCCAGCCTGTCACCCCCGAGCCCACATCTCGGGCCACTCGGGGCAGGACAAAT